CCTTTCTCCCAAAATCCGCCAAAGTGGGACTGAATCACGGTAGGGGGGCGTCGTAGTCGTAGCTCACCTGTGTACTGTGACATAAATCCGGGGACCTTTCGCTGTCCGAGCTGTTGGTCCTTTCACTCAGCGGCTTGGAAAGTTGACGTTCCTTGAGCGGGGTGCTGCGTTTCTGACGCGGGGTGTGCACGGCGCTGTCCATTTTGCTGTCACCGACAGAAAGAAACAACGTTTGTTAATAAATTCCATTTTTAAATCGTTTTTCTCAGATTTTAGTAATGATTGGCAATATGGAACTCTGCACTTCGACATGGCCCTGGGAAGGGGTGGGGACGACTAATCTATCAAGTCAACTCAACTAACCTAGGTGAGGCCATGCTTTGAAGCTCCCCCTTGTTCGTTTTCATCGGCGTCTTGACTTTTTCGGGGATAATTAAGGTGTTGGATAGGTCCCCGTAAGCGTCCTGCTCGTTCCCTTCCTAGAGAAACGGGGAAAAGACACTTTTAGCATTGATTTCCTTCCACCCAAGATTTCCTCCCCTCCCAAGAAAACCAAAGAGAATCTGCTACTTCCTAAGCGCTTACCAGGATGTCCGTTTCGTTGATGTTGTCATCCATGTTTTTGGTCCGATTCTGTTTGAGTTTGTCCCCGGAGGAGGCTTCGATCTGGATCGGTCGTGGAGGAGAGAAAAAGGGTATCTATGTATATATAAAAGCGAAATACCACTCACGCATCATCATCATCACAAAATCTCCAGAACCGTAAAGCCTACAAACTTGAAATTGGGCACGTAGGTTCCTCTTGGCTTCTAGGTGCCCACTAAGAAAGGATTTTTCAAAATAACCATCAGAGTATTTAGAGTATTTCCGTTCTTTCTTCTTCTTCTTCTTCTTCTTCTTCTTCTTCTTCTTCTTCTTCTTCTTCTTCTTCTTCTTCTTCTTCTTCTTCTTCTTCTTCTTCTTCTTCTTCTTCTTCTTCTTCTTCTTATTCTTATTCTTATTATTATTATTATTATTATTATTATTATTATTATTATTATTAGACTCTGATGCTAAGGAGTCCTACTCCCCCTCCCCACCTGGAAAGAAATCTCTTTCAAATACAAAACACAAGCAGAGGAGAGGACTTTCAGATTCACAGCATCAAGCAGCTTCAGTACAGAACAGTTGAGCTAAGCCACTGCCCAGGCTCCTTGCTGTCTCCTTCTTGCTCACAGCAAATCCTGTTTCAGTTTCCAAACAGCCCTCAACTCTCTCACACACCGACAGGATGCTAGCCAGATGAATCCCGATGGATGCTGGGAGGCAGAGGCAGAATTCCCCCCCCCCCC